GCTGTATTCTAGTGGCTTGATTGTGTCTTTCACTGTGTAAAAGCCACTTCTTATAGGTTATGTTATTTATATTAGTCTCCTGATTCATATTACTGCAGATATTGCTTAAATTGAGAGCAATTACCCAGCTCATTTTTGCTCATTTAAAACCTGCTGTGTCCTCAATCTTTTTTTCTAGATTATAGATCAAATAAGGACAGCTAACCATTTTCAGTGTTGTAGATCTGTATATGTAGCCCTGGAAGTTACCTTGGAGATGATCTAATTCACCTGCTTCATCTTACAAGGAAAGGGTAATACTGATGGACATTTATTGATGGTGTATCATGTTCTTGGCATGCTGCTAATGATTTCATGTGTACTATCTCAATTAATCTCTCTAGCTCAATAGAGTAAGCATTGCCATCATTACCATATAAGCAGACAAAGACACACAGGGACTGTGAGCCTCCATGGAGATTAGGACAGCTGCTGTCATATGGTCACCTCCTTTTTCCTGGTTTCAAATCGTAACTGTTGTTATAACTGTCACCTACACATGAAAAAAAATTGGAGCTAATAAGGAATCCCAACAGGAAAAAAAAATGTTTTTTATGAGTGCTAAGAACCCCTGAAAAAAACATTGGCAAATGCTCCTATTGGCAAGGGTGTGGACAAATGGGCACACACTCCCATTAAACCATGCAACATGGCAGAAGAGGGAGCAGAATGATTTTAACAGCCAGAAAATCAGAGAGTTTGCAATGAAGTTGTCTCCTAGTAACGTCAGGAACTACTCCCATAAAAATTCACCAATTTGACTCCTGTAACATGAGCTAAACAAGGATGACACCAACAGACATGCCAAAGACACGGTTTATGTGGGAGGTAGACCGTGAGGCCTCTACCCTACACAAGAACCCCAGGAAACGAAGGGATGCCAAAAGTATGAGAAATAGTCTTCCCCATGGAAAAACACACCAATTGGTTATTCATTACCAAATGGTCACTTCCAAAAACATGCATATGAGTAACATTATACATACTGGGAAGGTTATATTTATACATAGACATTAATTCGTGCAATAGAAATTAATGATAAACGTGATCACAAATGTGAAAGACAGGATGGGATGGAGGGAGGAACAGGAAAGGAGAAATGTAATTATACTATAATCTCAAAAGTTTTAAAAACGTAACATTTTGAGATGTTGAGCTCAGATTTTGTTTTTTGGAACTTGTTCAGTTTGTCATAGTTCCTACATATTAAGTGAAAGGAAATGGCAAGACATTTATATAGCCTAAGAAAAAAATTACATAGTACAATCTATGCATGGCATAAAATATAAAGACTAGAGGAGGATCGTAACATTGCCTAACCCAAAAAAATAATAAAGAATACTGAACCTCTTAACAAGTGAGACCTGGACCCTACAATCCTTTATTGAGACATTCCTGAAATCATTTCTAGGCTCTTTCCTATAACACTTTCCTGATTTTGATTAAAAATTTTTGCATCAGTAATGCTCATCTGTTAGTGAAGAAATTTGTATGATTAATATTTTTAAATTTTAGACACTGTTTTAATTTTCCACTTCAGTAAAATTACATTTTATAATAGCAACAAGGATATCTACCCTGTTTGTTTATTTGTTTGTTTGTTTGTTTTGTTTTGTTTAATAAATGGAATTCAATGGAAAAATTAAAAGCAACTTTGTTCATTCTCGTTCCTGAACCTGCGAACATTTCTGTGAGTTTTATTCATCAAGCTGCTACACACTGGACTGAAGAGACTGAAGCATGAGGACCTGAGTTCTAATCCTTAGGACCCACATAAAAAACTGGGTATAGTTGTGCATGCCTATAACTCAAAGGTGGGAGGTGGAAACTGGAGGTATGCTGGGGTTTATTGGCCAGCAGCCTAACATCAGGTTCAATAAAGACCTCTGGTCTCCGGGAGTGCATAAACACACACACACACACACACACACACACACACACACACACACACACACACTTGTCATACATGTTAAGAGGTGAGGACATTCCTTCCTCTGCCAACATCTATTTTATTATAGACTGCTTCTGTCAACGCATCACACAGGCTGTGGTCCAGTCCTCCCCAATAGTCCAGCCTCCATCCCTCAGAGAAATCTGTGGCTCGCTCTGCTACAGTTCTGTATTACAGGCTTCCTTCCAAACACCATGGTGGGTGTCTCTCACCAGCCAGCCAGCCAACCACCACCAGAGCATCCACAGCTGTGAGGTATTGGAAACTGCAAGTCAACTCTAGTGCTCCTGTAGAAAGTGGGGAGGGGGGAGATGTGTAAAAAGTGCTTCAAATGACAGCTCTGAACTCTAATTCTCCAGCAGAAACAAACAGTGACACAACCCTGTCTGGCTAAGGTATGGACACATTTTGGGGTAAAGGTTTTGGCAGACTGGACTAGAAATACAACCTTTAGTCATCTCATAATTTCAATGGGTAAAAAAATGTGTCCAGCTCAAAACAATGAGCCTACAAATGATCCTTAGGAGCATAACTCATGTGGAAACTGGAGGCTGCATTCACAAGCATCTCCCGCCTGTCAGGCCCAATAGATCAGAGCCGGGTAGCAGCACTGATTTACAGCCTTGGCCCTGCTGCCGAACCACTTCCTAATTCACATTCTTTATCCTTAAAATGAGAGCTATAATATGTCTGCCCCAACTACAAGGTTGTTTCTAAGAAGCATGGCTATTTCTGGACAAATACCTTTCGAAATTGACAGTGCTGGTTCGTTTACTCTTATGCCATATTATACAATATGCATTTATAATATTGAATGTGGGAACTGGTTCTAGGAATATGATTTCTGAGATTAATTCAAATGCCCCAAAAGAATCATTATAAGCTCTGTCTTTACTCCATTTCCTTGTTTCTCTTGACCTATATATTATTTTTAGAACGTTGGCATTACCCAAAGCCTTTCTAAATTTAAGAGTGTTAATTGAATATATTATAATGCACATGTCATCTGTACATTTCAGAAAGTCTCAAAGCTGTTCTTAAAACATAAAGAAGTGATTTCTGCAGCACTAAGGACAATAACAGGGTGGTTCCAGAGTTTAAGAAGAATGTCCAAAAATTAAAAAACAGAGGTGACAGGCTACAGCAAACCTTTTTAAAATCCTTCTAACATATTATTCTAAAGCCACTGACAGATAAAATAATAGATAGGTATACAGATGAAAGATAGATAGATAGATAGATAGATAGATCCATGTATATGCATACATATAAGCAAACACATATACTTTTGTTTCCCAAATACTCTTGGACTCTTGGGCATTGTTTTACCCTTACATTGGTTCTTTAATTTTAAAAATGACTTGGATAAAAATATTGACAACTATTTATATTTGCACAAGATTCATATTTTTAACTTTCTAAAAGTTATATTTTGCTATATAGTTTGATAAAAGTGGGAAGGAAAGAAAACCAAAGAACCTTATGAACCTCAAGAAAAAAATAAATGCTGAATATTTATGATTTCCCTTCTATTTTGACCTGATTACTACTGTGCTTGTATCACAGCAGAGTATACCAGGCTTCTCACTCCTAAACATGATCCTATCCGTTCCCAATGATTCATCTATTTTTATGTTAAAAATAAGTGCATTTTATACTCATTATCCCTTGTAACACATAGAATAAAACCTGAGTAAAAATAAGCAACTATTTATCACTTGAATGCTTGCCTAAAGGCAGATATTGTTTTTCCATTTTGCAAATGAGAACGATGGAGCACAGAGAAGATGTCTGGTTTGCCTGTGGCCATGGTGAAGAAATGGTACAGTATGGATACAAATCAAGTGTGTTGGCCCCAATGCCCAGTCTCTGTACTGTGTCCAACAGACACACAAGCCACAAATGCACCTTAACACTTCCACTTTCAGTATAACATAACACAGAATCTCTAATTTTGAAGCAAATCAATTGAAACTAAACAACAGCCAGGCGTCTCTATGACTTAATGAGTTAAAGAACCTGACTCATAAGCAGGAGATCCTGGGTTCAATTCCCAGTGGGACCTTCTGTCTTAGGCAGCTCACTTTCCAGTTCCCTCCCTTGTAACACACAATCCCTTTACTTTTCAATAAACTTTGCTTGCTTTAAAACAAAAGAAAAGAAACAAAACAATGAACGACTTCAATATACTGACATTATCAAAAGCCTCTTTGGCTTTGAATATAGACTTGCAAGCAGGAGTCAACAAGCTCTGTTTCAAACTCTCCCTTTCTCTCACCCATGTTCTTTCTGTTGTCCAGACTTGACCCAATATTGCAATGGTTTTCAAGCTGAAGTATAGACACAAAGCCTGTCCTGTGACCCTAAAGGCTGAGGCAGAGAGAGCAAGTTTCCAGATCTCGTAATCATTCCTGAAGCTGATCAGCCTGTAAACTCTGGGATCTAACAGTCTTTCTTTTCTCACCGTTCAAGTGTTCTCCTTCTGCATTTCACAAAACAGAGGCATGCCCTCCCTCTCCTAAATCCTATTTTGTGAATTATTCCAGGATGTCATAAAGAGGGGCACATCTAGAATCACTCTCCTGAAGGAGATCCTTAGGAGTTAAACCAAATAAACTTCAGGAAGAAGCGTTTGAGGGGAACTTCCTTCAACCAAGGGACAAACAAGGCAAGAGCCTATCAGCACCTGGTGTTGGCCACCTACCTAACAACTAACTACCGGTCATTCATCCATCCACCAATGCACCTGTCATAGAACAGAGGTTTAAGACAGATGTGGGAATTGTAAAATGAAATCAAACATTTTCTGGTGAAAAGTAACCAGATGATTTGGCTGACTAGTTTCACAATGAGGCCTGGTTATCCGAAGGACAAGATCTATAAATTGAGCTAAATCTATGCTCCAAGACTTGAATAAGACTACATTTAACTTAGGTATATTACATAAAATAACCAATAAGACATTTTACAACTATGTTATGTGTTAACATTTTTATTTCAGCTTCAAAAATATATGAGCAGATGACGATTTGTTCTCTTTTAAGGATAGTTTTTGATAAGAACAAAGACTTCTGAACAAATGCCTGGTCCGTTGCACAGCCACCTCTCCAGGGTTCCCAGCTGCCTTCTCCAATTGCATTCCACTCACACACAGCCAGAAATGCCTACCATGCCTGCTCTCTCCTCACCTTGGCTCAGGTCTTGGACACTTCTGGAAGAAAGAGAAGAAAGAAGCGTTGGTGCCATGGTTCCTGGCACTCACCGTAGACTGGGTGCCTGATGCTGTTTTTTTTCTTTCCTCCTCCTTCAGCCTTCTTGCTTTCCGCAGCAGCCATCTCTAACATTTCTTCAAGCCTCCCACACCTCCTCTTAACAACAACCCACGCCATTTTCATCCAGGCCGCATTTATCTTGCCAAAATCCAGCCCCTTCCACAGTACAACTGCTCTTGGTGCCCTGTGCCTGCTTCCCCAAGAGGTCTTCTTCCTTCACAATGCCACCTTCTTTCCTCCACGCCTCCTACTGCATCTTCAAGCTCTTGTCCCCATCCACAGTTGGAAACACTTTCGCTTCACACGCTGAAACAAAACACAGAAATCTATGCAATGAGCACATGTACCTTCCTGCTGCTCACTTACCTGCCTGGTGCCATCTCCTTGTTCGACTCCCCTTACACGCCATATTTCAAAATCAGTGTGCTCACTTTTGCCCTCTTCTCCTCTGTTTTAAGAGTGTGATTGCTGCTCTCACCACCCCAACGTGCTATCTGCAAGACTGGGCATTCTTATAAAGTAAGTTGGTTTTTTTCCAGGGCAGGAGAGGTGGTGCAGAAGTTAAGAATACTTGATGTTCTTGCTGATCAGAGTGTGGTACCCAACATTCATATCATGTGGCTTACGAATACCTCTCACTCCACTCCAAGAAATTCCACATCCTCATCCAGCCTCTCTGGGCACCAGCATGCACATGCATACACACACACACACACACACACACACACACACACACACACACACACACACACACACATACACGGGGTGGGGGGAGAGAATGCCTTCCCTCACTTTCCTTGTCCCCCTCCCTCCCCACAAAGGCACATTATTATATCTAAATCTGGTACATATGTCGCCTCCACACTGTCTCGATAGACTTGTTCTTATCTAATCACCCCACCTCCCTCAATTCCTCCTCCTGTTTATTTGTTTGAAAAACACCATCTGTCTCTAAAGATCATGCTGTAAGAATCATCCCTGTGTACTCTAGGCAGCAGGATCAATCTCCACTATGTCTGTCTCTACCCTTAGGCCGATAACCTGTAAATATGCATATTTCACTGTAGCATGAATTCTTAAAAGGTCTTATTAATAAAAACAAACCTGGAGCCAGGTATTGGGATAAACACTGAAAGATCAGAAAAGCAGAACAAGCCACAGCTAACCTCACCTTGCCAATTCCTCAGCTGATATTGTTTTCTCAGACTGGAAGCCTCTGAGTCCTTATCCAAATGGATCTCAACTAAACTGCTTCTCGAAAGCCTGAAAGCTTAACCAGCTCTAGTTCCTGGTTTTCATGTCTTATATCTCTTTCTGCTTTCTGCCATCACTTCCTGGGATTAAAGGCGTGCATCACCATGCCTGACTGTTTCCCATGTGGCTTTAAACTCACAGAGATCCGGATGGATCTCTGCCTCCCAAGTATATAGGATTAAAGGCGTGTGTGCCACCATTTTCTGGTCTCTATATCTAGTGGCTGTCCTGTTCTCTGACCCCAGATAAGTTTATTAGGGTACACAATACTTTGGGGAACACAATATCACCACATTTCACTCAGAACATGTTTGCACGCTTCCAGCTTACACATTTGACTGTCTCCTAGATAACGTATGTCGATTAGCCCATAGGTACCTAACGCTGCACTTACATGTCTACCTCATCTGAAGGGCACTGTACATCACTGATGTAGACTGAGCCTACGGTTACTCTGAACTTCCCTCTGGTCTTGAATCTTCACCTGTTTTCCACAGTACAGCCTGTGCAAGAACTGCAAACTGCTACTCCCTCAGCAGTGTCTTTTTTTTTTTTTTTTTTTTTTTTTTTTAAAGCCTTCCGCAGCTTCTTATCACAGGTACTTCTCTTTCATTTGTTCAGTCATTGTCCCAGTTAGACCCTAAGTACACCATCTCAAGTCCCCGGCCTGGCTTTCACCGCCCTTCTTCCTGAGACCTTGCTCCCTGGGTCAATCTCTCCTCTTCCCACTCTGCTGAAGTGCTTTGAGCTCCCAGTGCTCACAGACCCCCTCCTCCCCGCCCCCTGCTGCTAACACTCTCTGTCTCTGGCTTGGGGATTCCTCCTACTTAACAAGTAAGCCTGCTGCCACTCAGATGTTACTGATCCTTGAAAACCTTTACTAACATCACAGTTCCGAGTCTGATTTCTATCTTATATACTCCGTGGTTCGCTGATCTTCCTTCCTCTTTTATTTCACTTACTCTGTGTTGCTTTTTAAGTATTTCTTAATTAGGGCTTTAAAAAAAATGGGTATCATTGTGAGGTTTTCGTACATTCTTTATTCTTGTGACCAGCCTCCTCTCACCTTCTCATGCTTCCTCCCCCGAATATTCCCCTCTACTTTCACGACATATTTCGTTACTTGCTTCCTCCCAAAAACACACCTATAATCTCTTTTCCCCGTGGTCCCTTTCTTTTTTTTTAATTTTATTTATTTTTATTTTACAATATAATTTAATTCTACATATCAGCCACGGATCCCCTTGTTCTTTCCCCTCCCGCCCCCCTCCCCTTCCCCCCAGCCCACCTCCCATTCCCATCTCCTCCAGGGCAAAGACTCCTGGAGGATTGAGATCAACCTGGTAGACTCAGTCCAGGCAGGTGGTCCCTTTCTAGCTTCATGATTCCATCCCATGGGAAGAGTGTGTGTGTATAACAGGTATTTCTCCTTACAGCTCTAACTTATTCTACTTAACATAGTAATTTCCAGTTCCATCCATTTTTCTGCAAAAACCATTCTCTCATTTTTCTTTATAGCTGAATAAAATTCTTTTATTTATATATACCACATTATTTTTGTGAGACAAGGTCTCACTCGGTATCTCTAGCTGCCCTGGAACTCCCTGTGTGGATGAACTCACAGACCTGCCTCTGCCTGCTAAGTCTGAAAGGTGTGTGCCACCTGTCCACATGTTCTACATTTTCTTCATTTGTTCATCTATGGAAAGCATGTTCACTGGCTACATGGATGATAACCGGGTACCTATCTTTGTTCCAAAGGCTACATACGCTGTGGTGTTTTTTTGTGTCCAGGGCACTTCTCACTGCCTGTCACAGAACAGATATTGAGGAAATATACTTAGTAAATGCACAGATAAATACCAAAAAAAAATACCAAAACTTTGCATCTAAAATCAGCCACATCACTTCTTTGAATGGCTTGCAAACCTGTTTAATGAACAACTATAAAATTTCTATTGAGTTCTTATGAAGATGAGAGCCTTCCCAGTATCCCCAACATCACCCCCTCCTCTCTTCTCCATACCCAGCCTACAACTCTGGCAGAAGCCCACTGCTCTACCAAATGTCACACCAGTACCTGGAATTCCAGAATCTATGCTAGTATCCAGAAGCTCAGAGGCATGCCAGCTCCCAGAAACCCAGAACCCCAGAGATCACAAAGGGTACCAAAACCTCAGCTCAGACACCCTACTAGCCATGAGGACTCACCAGTCACCAGAACTACAGGCTACTAAGGCCATAAGACAAGAAAGGAAATGGAAACCAAGGGGGGAAAAACATCCATCCAACAAAGATAAACTCAGAAATGGGCACTTGACCCCAAACCCACATGACTAGAGGCCAGGGAAAGAACACAGTCATCAACAACAGAAGCAATGTTGAAACACCAGAACCCAGCTATGCTACCACGGCAAGCCCTGGATATTCCAACACATCTGGAGCACAAGAGATTGACCCTAAAACCAATTTCATGAAGATGATAGATGATAAATTAATAAATCCTTTAATGAAATCCAGGAAAACACAAGCAATTAGAGTAAAGGAATAAATCCCTTAAAGAAATTCAGGAAAACAAAAACAAACAATGGGAGGAAACAAATAAAATCCTTTAAGAAAGATTTTCAAAAAGCCAAGAAAAAAACAAACAAACAGGAGAAGGAAATGAATAAAACCATTCAAGACCTGAAAATGGAGATAGAAGCAATAAAGAAAACAGAAACCAAGGGAATCCTGGAGATGGAAAATCTAGGTAAGTGAACAGGAATTAAAAATGCAAGCATCACCAACAGAATGTAAGACATGGAAGAGAAAATCTCAGGCACGTAAGATATGATAGAAGAAATTGATACGTTGGTTAAGAAATTGTTAAATTTAAAAATTCTGACCAAAACATCCAGGAAACCTGGGACACTATGAAAAGACCAAATCTAAGAATAATAGGAATAGAAGGAGGAGGAGGAGGAGGAGGAGGAGGAGGAGGAGGAATCATCTCCATTTTAAAACCTAGAAAATATTTTTAACAAAATTATAGAAGAAATTTTTCCTAACCAAAAATTATGCCTACGAAGGTATAAAAAGCTTACAAATAGATTGGACCAGAAAAGAAAGTCCACCTGCCACATAATAATCAAAACACTAAACATACAGAACAAAGAAAGGATATTAAAAGCTGTGAGGTAAAAAGCCCAAGTAACACAAAGGCAGACCTTAGAATTACACCGAACTCCTCAATGGAGACCCTAAAAACTAAGAACCTGGACAGATGATTTGCAGACTGGAGATCACAGATGCCATCCCGGACTATCATTCCCAGCAAAATTTTCAATCACCATTGATGGAGAAAACAAGATATTTCATGAAAAAGTTAAATTTAAGCAATGTCTATCCACAAATCCAACACTATACAAACAAATTCCATCCCAAGGAGGCTAACTATACATATGAAAATATAAGAAATAAATAATATCACACCATCAAAACCAAAAGAAAGAAGTGTGTGTGTGTTCACGTGCGCGCGTACACACACACACACACACACACACACACACACCCAACAACAACAAAATAACATGAATTAATAATTATTGGGTCATTAATATCTCTCAATATCAATAAACTCAATTCCCCAATAAAAAGGCACATGATTGGATGCAAAAGTAGGATCTATCTTCTGCTGCATACATGAAAAATACCTCAACATCAAAGATAGACATTACCTCAGAGTAAAGGGTTGGAAAAAGATTTTCTAAGCAAATGAACCCAAGAAGCAAGCTGGTGTAGGCATTCTAGTAACTAATAATATTTACTTCCAACAAAAATTAATCAAAAGAAATGGAGAAGGACACTTCATAGTCATCAAAGGAAAAATCCATCAAGAGAATGTCTCAATTCTGATTATGTATGCTCCAAACATAAGGTCACTCACATTTGTTTAAAAAAATTATTAAACATTAAATCACACATCAAGTCCCACATATTAATGGTGGGAGACTTCAATCCTCCACTCCCACCAATGGACAGGTCATCTAGACAAAAACCAAACAGAGAAA